GCAGTTTCCGTTTCCCTCCCCCCCCCCCCCCCCCCCCCCCCATGATGCAGCACCCCTTTGTAACCACAAGATGCAGCGCACCCTCTGTGCCACTTGCCGAATACATGACGGCGGCGAGCTTGCGGTATGCAAGGCTACGAGTACACACAGCCCCCCCGTTGTAAGAAGTTACTGTCCGTTTTCTCAGAGGCGCTTTCCGTTTTCAACCGCACTTAAGACTATGGTGGGTTTGTTCGGTCAGCCAGTTAGCGCTGTCGATATAATACCCAAAACACACGCTGAGGTGGTGGGTTTTGTGAAGTGCGCTACACGCGCACGACAGTTAATCTTCAAACACACCAGCGTTGTGATATCTTCGACCGATCGATGCACACCACGCACAGCCGAGATACAACAAGATGAATGAGCAAGGTCGGAAAAGTGGTTGTTGTGCATGCTTGCAAGCAGCCTTTTCCTGCTGAATGTTGCGTGTGTTGCATCTCCATGAGTAATATTCGTTGTTAATACAGCCCCCCCTCCCCACCCCACATCCCTTGCTTCTGTTGGGTGTTCTTGGCCGTCCGAAACATCCGTATCTGTGCAGACGAGAAGGGAGGCATGAGGGAGGCCCTTACTTCTGTGCGGTCCACTTGGCACAAACAGATCCGTACGGCGGTCGTGAAAGCTGTGAATGCACTTGTGGCTTACTCGTTTACCTCCTCCGCTCGGGCCCTGGGCGTGAGACTATGTGACGTGGAAGATGCGCGTGACCTCGTGTCTAACATGACCCAGGTCATCGAGGTGCTGCAGACGACGGATGAGGTGGTGAAACCATTGTTTACTGTTACCCGCAGCCCTCCTCCTCACCGCTTGCACACCACTGCAGTTGGTTTGAAACTCGAATCGCGCCCCTGGTTGTTTTGCAGCCCGTTTGCTCTTTATTTTAACAAGGTCCAATGTCAACGCCGTTGGTCTGCTGATCGATGTTCAATACGCCCTACCATTTATCCTTGCCGTGGACACTCCCGCCCGCGACAGATCTACTACACTATGGTCGACGAGATCTACGCCCCCATCCTCGCTGTACACAGCAAATACGCTCCGATTAAACCTGCTGGTGTTGATGACGTCATGGGCTCCAAGGACCTGGCCGAAGACCTCCAGTCTAAGGTAAGAGGTCATCCGGATGCGTATGCATACAACCTGAATAATGGTCTTTGATCCGTAAAAACCTTTGCTGACAAACTCTATCGGTTCCGGGAATGAATGGTCGTTCCACGTATGCATAGCGTGAATTCCGTAGGACATCGACGGGACAACTCGCCTATATTCCCACGGCTGATGTAGAAAGATAACGACACCAGCTTTGAAATCAAATACCGTAGGTAGAACTCGTCACTGGTTGGCGAGACATGTACTAAGTTCAAGTGACCTGGCCGAACAATCAAACGATTTCGTCTAACTCTACTTACGAAGCAGCGATGGCGATGCCTAGGATATTTTGGGGCTTGTTCAACGCGAGCCGCCTCCCGCGTTGAACGATAGCTAGCAAGCGTCAATTGCAGGTGCTGTACAATATAAATGCGAGGCAATATGTATTGATATAATAGTAGTGAGTACAACCGCGACCCTTTTGTCTCTCAGCCTCGAGCGAGATGTAGTCTAGGCTACAATGCGCGTCGCTCGTTGTTCGGCTTTTTTATGTGGACACGACGCTTTTGTTCAGGATCAAACACAGAACAACTCATCCGAAGCATATTGTGCGGGCACGCGATCCGGCGTGACGGGATATTGTCGTACGTGCCTTGTCCCGGTGTGATGGACAGTGCTTCAAAGGATTACTGGTGGCGGCCCTACAGGACATCAAGAGCTTAACGGTCTCCCATGTCCACAAGGAGGATGCGCGGACAGAGGTTCTTCGTCGAACCCATGAGTGGTCGAAACTCCAATCTGGGGGCGGGGGCAGCAAGCTCTTCACAGCTGAGTTGAGAGACCACCGTAGTTGAATTATACACACGGCCCCTTGAACTATCAGCTGTCAAATGATGTCCAGGAAACGAACCATCTGAGGCATACCCAAACTAGGGAACGTGGAACCCAAGCCGCGACTTTTGTCTTCTTCAATGAACTGCTGCCCTGGACATGTTGAAGTATTCAGTATATGTGATGGCCACGCGTGATGACACAGCAACCGTATGTCGTGCGGTATCGCTTTCCTCCCAAGAGCCGCATTTTTCGGTGCAACACCGCTTCAACACTGTCACCGTTCTCTTGTGTTATCCCGTTGTGTTCACGTGTCTTTACGCAGACTGTGGCCCAGCATGTTCAAGAGCGTCACTAGCAAAAACCGCCATGCAAAGGTGCTGGTAGATCACGACCCTGCCGAGCTACTCACGGACAACGACGTGGTGCTGTGCATCTAACCCTACTTTGGAGTCGACGGTACGTGCCTCTCGCCGGTGTTTGTACAAACGTGCTTGGGCCACCGCCCCCCTCGCGCACCTCGCTACATCTGGTATCTGTCATGCCTTTGTCCGCTCGGAGTTTTATGCCAGGTTCACCCATGTCTACTCGGTGTACAACGGTCGGGCCTATCATTCACACCACGCGATGCCATGCTCGCTCGTTTTGCAACGGCTGACACGTACATGCCTCTCGTTCCAAAAACTTGCCGCGCAGACGAAAGTGAGGGTTTCTGAATCACAATCGCAGCGAAAGGAGGTGTTCCGTGGGACCCGCTGTCGACGTCCTCAGCCCTTACACAAACATCTTGATGTCGTTTTAAGATGCCGTGTGGAGGTCGGTTTAGGAGAGTGAGGGCGAAAAATGGCTGTGCATGAAACGCCGGCATAGCTTGTGTGCGGGGCTGCCTGGGGTGGGGCCGGTCGGTGCACGGCTGAATTTGGGGGGGGAGCGGGGGTGGGGGTGCCGGTCGGTTGCATGGTTGATGGGTGGTTCCTATGGGCGCCCTGGGTGTTGGTATTTACTCATGCCGTTTCTACGCGGCGGAGGATGATCTACGTAAGCAAAGGTCGAGGGGACTCTCACAGCTGATTCGAGATAGTCGTGTGACGTCTTTTTGGGATGAAGAGGGGGGGGCGGAGATTGTCACTTGTTTTTGCGTGTTTGGGAGACGACGCTCTCTGCCTTGGTGTATCGCTATACACATGGAGTCGCATAACGTCTTGGCTCTACGCTTAGTGAAGAATCAAGGAATCGCGAGCCTAACGTGGTAATGTTCTATCTCCGTGTTATGGGCCGCGGGGGGTGCACCCGAGACAAGGGTGGAGAATATATTTTGTGTATGCATTTGTATTGTCAGCCACTACACCCTATGTGGTGCGTGGTGAGCTCGTACGTAGTCGTACATAGGAATGGCTGGGTCGATCAGCATACTGCAACCTATTGCTCTACATATAATGTATGGTTGGTCCCGTGGACAACACCCACGGGTCCCTGGGACATGTATGCGCCGGGTGGGCTGTGATGTCCAGATGACACTGCCTACGTACGGCTGAATTTGTTGGGAGAGGGGTTTCCGGCTAGTTGCATGCATGATGGGTGTGGTACGCGGGCGCTTTCGGCGTTGGTATACTTGGTCATGCAGTTTCAGGGCTGCAAATAATTATAAACGTAAGGAAAGGTCGGGGGACTGTCACAGCTGATTACAATACGAGATGGTTGTGTGGCGACCTTTTGGGGCGAAGAGGGGGAGCGGACCTTGTCACATTTGCCCGTGAGATGGGCTTTGGGTAACGCTCTCTGCCTTGGTGTATCACCCTTGCATAGTGAAGGTTCAAGGTATGGCGAGGCTAACGCGCAAGGTCCATGTGTTTTTTCCGTGGTATGAGCCGCGGGGGTGCACCCGACAAAAGGGCGGAGAATCTATTTTCTGTGCCGTTGAACCTTTCTACACGCATTTGTATTGTCAGCCACTGGCCCCTATGGCGTGTGGTAAGTTCGTACGTAGTCGTACATAGGAATGGCTGGGTTGATTCGCATGCTGCAACGTATAGCTCCGCATGAAATGTATGTTTCGTACCGTGGGGGGTGTATGCGACGGGTGGACTGTGATGATTCAGGGTCGGCCAAACTCTTCTTCAGCGTGACGCTGTCCAGGGTTTTATTCATGACCAATGTAAAGGGTTCGACGGCATCGATTTTATTAATGGCCACATTGTTACGGGAACACAGGGTCGAGTGATAACAAACATGTGTAAGGTCGAGGGTAAGAACCTTGCCCAGGGTTCTACCCCTAATCATGTGCAGGGTAGGACCCGTGATCATGGACAGGATTCGACTGCATCGACCTTAATAAGGTGGCCACATTGTTACAGCGCCACAGGGTCGAGTCATGCCCAACATGTGCAAGGTCGAGGGTAAGAACCTTGCCAAGGTTCTTCTACCCTTCATCATGTGCAGGGTAGGCCCCGTGATCACATGGACAGGGTTCGACGGCATCGACCTTATTAAGGTGGCCACATTGTTACGGCCGCACAGGGTCGAGTGATCACAACCATATGTGCAAGGTCGAGGGTAAGAACCTTGGCCAGGTTTCTACCCATAATCATGTACAGGGTAGGGACCTATGATCATGTGCAGGGTACCAGTGCATGGACCTTCTTAAACTGGCCACATGCTTACGGGCCACAGGGTGTTCTGGACGGGACCCTGTGCAAGGGCACAATGGCCACGGGTGCATTTCCACCTCATGTTGACGCCAGCACAATTTCACCTGCGCCGGTGTCTGCAACTTTTGATACACCGGGTCCCGTGTACCCCCTTTTTATAAGCCGACACGCTGGATACTGTTTTACCCCTGTGCGTAAGTTTTCATCGGCTGTCGGGAGCGCGCTGCATCCCCTCATGTGATACACCTGGTCCTGTACACCCCTTCTGTTCAACCTCCACGCTAGATACTGGTTTACCTCTGTGCGTAAATTTTCATCGGTTGTGGGGAGCGCCTATGCTGCATCCCCTCCTTTGATACGCCTGGTCCCGCGTACCCCTTTTATTCTGCCCCAGACAAAGTTTTCATCGCCCGCGGACATCATGAAATGGAGGCGCCTGTACCGCGAATCCCCATCATAGAGTGGCTGGTTTTTGGAGCCGAATTACCATCGTCGTACGAATCTCCCGCGATAACACGCCTGGATTTTTCCATCGAAAAAGACGAACAACAATTGCTCAACAAAACACCCACACTCAAGAATGGAAACGCCTGAACCGCGAATCCCCTTTCGAAAATCATCGTTGGTCGTATCATCGTAAGCGAAGCTACCATCACTCTACGAACACCAAATCAGAAAATGGAAACCTTTGGGGTCTAGGCTGTACTGTCAGATTGTTTTTTTTGCGCCAAAAAAAAAAAAATGAGAGCGAGAGCGAGCGGGAGAGAGAGAAGTGCAGAGAAAGACACCAGTGTACTTCTGCACACGCAACAGCTATCTCCACCTGTAGGCCATGAGAGAAGCCGGCGACAGGGTGGTGGCCACAGACAGGGTCGTCGAAGGGTTGATGGGTGGTCGCGCTGCGGTCAGTAGGGCAGGTTAGCTGTGTAGACTTTGAAATGATCAGTCGTCTAGCTGCCTCAACTGGTATATTTTCGGTATGTTGTAAATGATCAGTTCAGAGAGGGCGAAATGATCAGTGAAGACCCATAGCTGGTATTTGTACTTCTGTACTTCTCTGTTCTCTGTCCCCCCCCGAAATGTGCCCTGCCAGCTCACTAGAGCTCCTGTGTTTTTCAAACAGCAAGCACATCCACCAGCTCACACCTGTACCTCGTGGTTTCCTAGGTTCGGGCGAGGGTGGTATGTGTGGCGCTACGAGTGTGGATGTGTTGCTGATATGTTTTACTCGTCTACAGCAGTAGTAGTGTTGTAGCGTTCGTTGTAGCTGCTGACGCAATGACTGCTGGATCTTGGGAACGATTTTCAAATTGTTGGGAACCACGATATCCTCGATATCTGGGCTTCGGCAGGGATTGGAATACCCCTCCCTTTTGCCGCCCTCTGCTCTTTGCAGCAGTGGCTTCCTACGTTCGGGCGAGTGTATGTGTGGTGCTGCGAAAGAACACATATGTATGTGTGTATGTATGTATGTATGTATGTATGCACACACGCGTTCATTGACATGTGCATACGTTGAGAGATTCATGATTTGGCATTGATTGGCCCCATTTCCATTCCCGAGACCTTGATATTACCCGCTGTCACTGAAGTCTCTTCGTTGGTCAGCCGGTTAGCGCGGGTGCTAGTAATCTAGACACACCTACCTATGGACTTGCCAATGCACGGCGCGAAGGGCTGCAGGGCGGCAACTCCACGACTCGCCACTACGCCAGCATTTGCAAATGATCAATCGGTGATCAGTGAGAACGCCTGAAGACTCAAAAGGGTTAACCGCGAATCCCCTGTAGAAACTTTCGGTATCATTCGTCAAAAGTAAAATCATTCAATATCACTCACGAACTCAACCAGAAAAAAGCGCCCCGCGGCAACGCCGCGTTGTTGTTGGCCCTCGTTCAAAAGCACAGCAGATTTCGCGGTCTCGCCCTTGCTCCTCTGCGTCAATTCCACGTTCACCAGAATCGCCATGACTGCAATCCTCCAGTTCTCTCGGAGCGAGTACCTTTCCGGCGATCAACAGGCTCGTGTGTTGTGCCGCCCGCTACTCCGTCGCCGACGCCGCCGCCCCTCTGCTGCCTTGTCATTGGGCCGGTCCCAACAGGTCGCTCATGTTTGTGGCCCCGACGGATTACCCTCCAGGCTCCGCGTCCTGACACCTCGTCTCGTGTGCCCGGGGCAGTCAAGCTACCCCCAGCAGCGCCTCTGCTAGAGCTGCCAACCGTACAGAGAAAGTCGATGGTCTGGAACGCACCAAACCCACCATTTGCAGGGACGTCAAACGCCCGCACCGGTTCACCTTCCGTGCCCGATCTACTGCTGCTCTCTTTTCCAGCGGCGTCATCTGTTCTAACGCCAGCCGCAGCGTGCAGCTCTAATAGGCAGCTGCATGGCGGCGAGATTCCGACAATCCCACCGCAGGATGCGGCGCGTCTTCCAGCACCGCCGGCCCCCCTCGGCTTCCGCAATCTGTTTCTGCCCGCAGCAGCGATGACATCTTGTCCATCACCCCCTTTATCCAAAATCCGTACGCATTGCTTCCCAGCGGGGGGCCAGTGGATGGGTGGCCCGGGGGACCTACTCCCCCGACTCCACCGGGTGGCACCCCAAACCGTGTGCCCGGCGCGGCTCCTCCGCGCCCTGCGGCGTTGCCAGCGCCACTTGACTCCCCCTCTTCTGCCCCCGCCGCCCTGGCAGACGGCATCTGAAGTTG